AACCGGAATGAGCCCTGCCATGATGATCGCCGCGATAACCGAACTATCATCACCGCTTTGTCAAAAAGAAAGGAAAAAAAACTGGCCAAATTGGTGCAAAAGAGAAATGAAAAAATGAAAAAAATAAAAACAAATGAGCACATCTTGAAGAGAAAAATAAAGAAAAATAAAGAAAATCTGATAGGCAAAAAATCCAAGAAGAAAAAAAAAAAAAAAAAATACACCCCGCAAGCATGACACATCAGCAGGTATACGGCCTCAGCAATAGAATCAGGAACACTCAGGGGCCATTAATTCATAACGATATATATAAAGAGAAGTATGTTCACTACGATTCGGACGATACGTATGCCAACACCAAGGAGGAAGAAGATGGCACTCTCCCGTTAAGCGAAACGTTTATAGAAAATCGAATAGATGAGTTTATGAGAAACGAAAAGAGGATTAGAAACCCATTTTTTTACGACACAGCAGATGAGCATTATGTGAATGGAGAGAGATTGATTTTGCCCGATGTTGGATACGGCAATCTTGGAAGGAGAAGACACAGTGGCGGTGTCTGTGTTGGAAGAGCAAAGTCCCGGGGAGACAGCGAAGCGGATGACAAACTGAACAAAGGATGGTACAGCCACATTTTCAAATGCAGCAAAGACGTTTTTGTAGAAGTAAATGCAGGAAAAAATGAAGGCAATTTTTCAAGGAACGAAAAGGAACAAGACCAAACGTGGAGAAACGATTACAATTACCATCATCGCATATGTAAGAATGAGAAGAAGGAACCAGAAGCTGTCTATTTGTACGAACTGAGTGAAAATGAATTTTCGCAGATGTACCAAAATGATACCTCCTATATTACCTACAAAACATTAAAGAGAGCAGCACAGTTTTATGATCATAATGACACAAAAATTCTGGAAAGGACGAATAAAAATTTAAATAGTGGTTATACAAACTTCCTAAATGTGAGTAACACATATTGTAGGAGCAATTCTTACTATGAGAGGGGTTCTCATTTATGTTTTCTGCAGAGTAGAAATAGTGAATGTGTCAGCTTCTGCAAAGAAGCAAGTGGTTATACTTGCAACATGTCGGAGAAACATTCATTTCGTGCGCTAACGAACTCGTGCTTTATGAAAAAGGCAAACACTTTGAAGAGGAAATTTGCCAAGTGTAAATTTTTAACGCGTAATGGTAAAAGTGAAAAGATGAGCGAAAAGAAGATAAAGAAAATGGACACTACGTTATCCTCCACTGAGGGTACAGCTAGCGTGCATGTAGGGGATGGCGCACATAGCGCAGTGTTATTATCACAGGAAAAGGGAAAAATAAAGAGCATAGGAGAAGGAAAAACTGCGAATGTTACTAACCCTGCCATCTGTGACAAACAGAGGCAAAACAAAAACACCATGGGGAAAGAAAAGGAAAAACAAGATGACAATGACGATGTAGTAGGTGACCTAATCAACAGCAGTAGTGGTACCCTGTCAACAAAGGTTAAAAACGTTGATGAAGATTTTGAGTCGTTTAAGAAGCAGCTGGGGGGAGACACAGAGCAGTGGACTAGCAGCTCACAAAGTAATAGAACCCCCAGCTCGGAAAGAGCCATGATGTACTCAAGTGAAGACGAGTTTCACTTCTCCACCTCTGGCAGTTCGGACGAAAATACAAAAAAAGATGTCAACAAAGTGAAAGAACAAGTAGATTTGATAAAGGAAGATTTCATAAAAAAAAACACTGCCATTGCTTTGCTAAACACAAACAATATACAGGCATACAATAGGGCCATATTAGCTGCGAAAAACACGAGGGCAAACAAAACTCCCACCGATGTGAGCAGAATTGTACTCACCCATGCGTTAACCAATAGAGAAATGTACACCTTGCATAGCTCTCTCTCGAACTATAGAAACAATGCGGAGTTTCGACGTATCTGTCTCAAGTGGAAGGCCAAGAAGGAGAGGCGAAAGGACCGACTCAGAGGAAAGGACAAGAGCAGTCGTAGCAGTGACGATAAGCAGAAGAGGAAAAAAGAAAAAAAAGGAAAAAAAAAAAAAAAAAGTACAAAGGATAGCCAAATTGGTAAGCAACATAAGAGGGAAGAAAATGAGAAGAAGGAGGGAGAAAAGAAAGACACGTCCCATGAGGAAGTGGAAAAGAAGAAAGAACAACAAACTGTAGAGCAATCACAAGTGGGCCAGAATGTCCCATCTGTAGAGGAAAGGCTTCAGGAAAACGTCGCAGATGAGGAGAAAACAATTGCTCCATCGAATTCGAATGCCGAGAATCTCCCTTCTACCGGGGAAGGAAGAGGTGCCGAGGTTTTGCCCACCCAGTCGAAAGCAGGGACCCTCCCCGAGAATGCTCAAGAGAGACAACCAAAAATGGAAGCAAATGAAATGGTTTTATCTGAAAAATGCGAAGAAGGAAAAGAAGGTAATGGTGATGAGTTTCCCATGCAGCAGGAGCGTAACAGAGAATCTGTCGAAAAGGTAGAACATTCGCATGGTGCCTTAAGGGAAGAGGGAGTCATTCCGACAGGTAGCACCGACGAGACTAGGAACAACCCAAGTGGTGCTGGTAACAATGCGGACTATGCTACTGCGCAGAGTGGGGATGAAATTCATCACAAGGGTTCAGAGGCGAAGTTCGCAAAGGATCAAAAAAAGAATAGTCAGGTGTACAAGGATGATGTAAATGAGAAAATCCAGGGAGCCGCGCACAACGAGGGGGGAAAGCAGAAATTGCCGAAGGAAAACGAAGCAGGCGCAGGAGAAGAACCAGACGAAAAGGTTCACCCAAAGGACCACCCAAATGATCACTCAGATGATCACTCAAAGGACTCGAACGACGGAGAAAAGGTGAAGCGCAAGGAAAACGCCGAGGCAAAAATCAGGAAGGAAAAGAAGGGAGTTTTCTTGGGATCCTACAAAAAGAACTTCAAAAAGAGGAGGTATGACCCCAATTTTTTTTACGACGAAAAGATGGAAGTCAAGATGAAGAGAAATAAGAACGAGAGAAGTGACAACAAGGTCGCTAAGAGTAAAAAACACGGTTACGGTTTAGGTTGCTTCAGGAGCGCTAAGTGTGCAGCAGGTAGGGTGGAAATGAACAGGCATACGCTGCAGAGGCGTGCCTTCAGAGAATCGTGCAGAGGCAGGGAAGCATCCACTTCTGCATTCACGCACGAACTGTTTAAATCGCCTAACGCTCTCACTTACAACCCCGAAGGTAAAAAAGGACCTCGTAGAAGAGGCCGAGACAGCGACAGCAACGGAGAAGGGAAGAAGAAAAAGGACTCGAGCAAAAAGGACAAAAAAAAAAATAAAGAGAAAAAGAAGAAAGATGACAATAAGGGAGAGCCACAAGATAGTAAGGACCCCGCAAAGGAGCAGAGCAGCGCAAGTTGTGAGGACTCCAAGATTGAGAAGGGAAGGGAAAAGAGCTGCAAGGAGAAAAAGGTTTACATCCACTTGGAGAGGTAAGAAAAGAAAGCAAACTAAGGAGCGATCGCCCAAATAGAGACGCACCTGAAAGGGTAGACGCAATCGAGGCTTGTGTTTAACAAGCTGTCCTGTGGGGGTTACCAGAGAACTGATTAGCGTATGGTCTTTGCCCGTTGTGTCTTTCTGCATTTTGGGGCGCCGTTTCTATGTATAATGTGTCGCTTGGGAAATGCCCTCCCCTGAAGAAAATCAAAAGGGCCGTAATATTTACATTTATATATGCTTGTATATGTACCCATACGTATTTTCTTTTTTTCCCCCCGTTTAGCGCCCTATCCGTTCTGGTGTGCGGAGGACTGATCTCCTCGAAGAAGCTTATAGAGGCCCAGGCCATCCTGAAGGAAAATAACAGAAGACTACAGGAGGCGAAGAACAGCTCGTCTCTAACATTTGCGAGCGAGAGACGTGCAGACAAATGCTTTGACAAATTTGGGAAGGAGAAAAATGAAAAGAACAAAGAGAATGGCGCTCTCTTTTCAAACTCCCTGGCGGTAGAAGTGGATTTGAGTGGATGTTTTTTTTTCCACTCCTCCTTTACCTGCCCCATTAGTAGGGACAAATCGTCCAAGGAGAATCCGCCGTATGTGTTGAGATGCGGACATGCCATTTGCAAGTAAGCAATCAATACGAGGGACATCACACGTACTACACCACTTTTTAAGTCCTCCTCAACAACTATGTACATTTTCTGCCGCACCCATGCCTGCAATTTTTTTTTCTCCTCCCCTCCCCCCGTAGGAACTGCGTGGACAAAATTCACGCGCAGAGGTCCAGACAGTTCAAATGCCCCATGTGCCCGCAGTACCTGCATTTAATAGAGGTACGAGTCGGCCTTTGTGCCTTCTCTCTATGATGTTTAAAATTGATGCTGTGGGGGAAGAAACATATAAGCCAAGCTGCGCAAGTACATGTGTGCAAATCGCCCCTGCTGTCGTATCCACCAGCATCGTTATAATTTCTACGTTCACCTGTACCCCCCTTCAGATCATTCCGCTGTACTTTAACTAGCCATCCTCCCCCGAAAAATATTTACTCCTTCCGATGAGAACAGTGCGTTCGCACAATCCGTAGTGCACATGGAGCAATTTCCGAGGAAGTAACATGTGTAGGAATTTTTCACTTTCCAAAAATGGGCTAAATTGTACTTATAAATATGTAAAGACAAAACAATTTTTTTTTTCCATTGTTGCCCCCTTGTTCTACTTTTGTGCCATTTAGCTACAGCCTTTTGCACATTTTTTTAGTTTAATTATACTAAATAAAAATTACAGAAAATAAATTCTTCCTATCAGAGCAGCAATAATTAAAAGGAAGCGCACAAGAACATGTGTATATGAAAACAAAGAGACCGCTTTTTCGCCCTCACCTCGCAATGAGTTGGAATCATACTCTCCAACCATCTTCCACCCCCAGGAGTTCGTGTCAGATCAGGGTGTTGCCACTGAGACATATGTGCCTCTTCATAATCATAATACAATATGGCACACACAACACGGTTTCCCTGTTTACCATTTGGTTATGCGTGTTCTCTTTTCCCGTCTTCATCAATTGTGGAGATAGTATCATCCTTATGCTGCCCATCCGGTTTGTGTTCCTGACGGCTTTTTTCGTCTTTGCATTTCTTCGAATCACTTAAAGTCTTTTCATTAGATTTAATCTCATTCGTGCTGTCACATGTATCTTTATTATCTCGCATTTCCTTTTTTTTAATTTCCTTTCGGAATGGTTCCTCATCACCAGACTTCCTTTTCCCTATCTCCCCTGTGTGTTCCCCATTTGGGGACTTGCAATAATCCGCATTTTTATTTTTCGAATAGGTTGCTATTTTTTTCTTCTCTTTCCTTTCACTCGCACTCTCCGATGCACACGCAGATTCTGATGGGGATGCTAATACAGATGCTGATACGGAAGCTGATACGGAAGCTGATGCGGAAGCTGATGGGGATGCTAATACAGATGCTGATGCGGATACCGATGGGGGTGCGGATGCGTTGAGGTTCTCTCTCCTGGGGACCCTCAGACCTCTTCTAGATGCACCCTTAGAATCTGCACTATGTTTTTGCTCTTTTTTTTTCAAATTTTTTAATCCCTCACCGTTTAGCGCAGATATTATTATGTCAATCTTGTTACCATGTTTTGGGGGTTCCTTTTTGGACTCTTGTTCTTTGTCACTATTTTTGGAAAAGGATTCTTGGATGGTCCCCATTTTGTCTTTTCCACCTCCTGGTGTGACGCCTACGACATGCTTATGACTTTTCGTTTCCCATTTTTCCTTGTACTGTTTCTCGTTTTTCTTCGAGTCGTTTTCCTTGATGCGTTGTGTTGGCAGAGGACTCAGGAAATTCTTTTTCCCTTCACTATGTGCTATGTTTTTTTTTTCTTTCTTTTCCTGTATGTCTTGTGCGGGAGATGTACCTTCGGATTTGTTTTTTCCTGTTTCCAGTTGTGTCCCGGCTGCACCTACGCTTACTGTTTTGTGTGTCTCGGGCCTAAGAGGGGGGAGGCAGCACGTGATTGGTAAGTTTAGCAGGTATATTCATGTGCATCTATCCTCGCGCGTGTGAAACAATTTTGCAGGAGTGAACGAGGATCCATTTGTTCCTATAGAGACGAGAGTGCGAGGCATTTCGCAGTCCACTGGGATGTTGAGGTCTTTGTCGGGTGGAATGGGGCTCATCCGACGGGGGTGCGATGTTCGCGTTGTGAGTGTGATATCTTTTCCGTCACGTGGTGCCACGCCTATCGCCGCACTTGCTGTCACATGTGATACCACGTTTTATCGCCACACGTCTTTCTTTTCTTTTTCAATACCCTTTTTTGAAGAAAGACTTGGGCACGATTATGTCCACACAGTTCTCGTGGCGCGATTTGCTCTGGGTTTGTAGGAAGGTCTTGCTAGGCATGGCGAGGTCCTTTGCAGAGAAATGGGAAGAATGAATTCAACCGGTGTTGTTTGTGGTGAGATGCATCACATGCGTGCGCATGTGGAGACGTGTTTGCGAAGGAGCAGTCTGGCGAGGCCCCATACGGGGGCGAGAAACGTGGGAGGGGAGAAAAGGCGCACGACTTGGAAAGGGGGGGAATTTTGTACCTATTGGGGGCCAATTTGGGGACTATTTTGTGTCCATTATTGGCCATTTTTTATTACTTTTCTATTTTGTTATTTTTCTTATTTCTCTTATTTTTCCTATTTCCCCCATCTTCCCATTTTCCGCTTTCCCTTCTCGCCAGTCACTTACATCAATGACGTAGTAATAATTGTGGTACGAGTCCACGGGGTAGGAGGCCGTCTTGAACTTGTTGTTCAAATTCTGCATCAGGAACTCGGAGTGAGAGACGCCAATAACTTCATCCTCTTTCCCATGTATAAGCAAAAGGGGAGTGTCAGTATCGTAACCGTTACTAAGCTTAGACAAGTTTTTAAAATTGTCGTATATATTTTCAATGATGTAAGAGGAGTAGCTAACATATTCTTCTACTAATTTTTCGATTGACACATATGGAGAATGTAAAATAATTCCTCCAACTTGATGTCCAAGTAACTTTAAATTATATCCTAATTTTGTAGCTACCCCTGTGCCTATGGATCTTCCGAATAGTACGATTTGTTCACTTTTTAATTTTAATGACCTTAAAAAGTTGTATGCAGCTAGGGCTCTTCTGTTGATGTTGTACTGATTAGGGAATCCCTCCAAATAACACAACCCAAACCCTACATATTCTATGGCGAGTATGTTGGCTTTTAAATGTTCATGCAAGTGACACATTTCGTCATATATTTGTCCTAAATCACAGGAGTTGCTGTGGAAGTACATGATGGTGTGTTTGGTTCTTGACGTTTTGGAGTACAAAAATATGGCTGGAAATTTCCTTTTGTGCAACTCTTTTACATTTTCTTCCTTGTTAAATATTTCGAATGTTTTGTCTCCCCAGAATTTCTCTACGTCGATGTTCAGTAGTTCTGGGATATACACTAGGTTTTCCTGGTCTTCTCCGTACTGCAGGGGGGGTAGGAGTAGGCTTAAGCATATGTGTGGATACCTGTGTGGGTACACATAGGTATGGAGTTACGACCCATTGAAAACGAGCAAACAATCGTGTCACACTAGCAGCGCAGTTATGTGGTGCCATTTTTCGCCATGTTCTGCCTTTCGGGAAATGTTCACGTGCAGACGCGTAGACAGATGGAAGGGGTACAATGGCGCCCCCATTCGCTTTATTGTTTCCCATTTGTCCTCATCGCACATGGTGGCAGGATGGGGGAAGTGCCGTACAGGGGTAAATTGTGCAGTACACGTATCGGTACATACGTGCAGATTTTTATTTCTCCTTATTTTTCTTTCTTTTTTTTTTGGTACGGACACTTGGCTCGGTGGGGCGAAACAACGCCGTGTTGGACAAGGAATTCCCCATGGTTTCTTCTCTCTTTTTTTTTTCTTTTTGCTTTTCCTTCCTTTCTCGATTTTTGTTGCTGTTCAAAGGGTGTAGGAAAACAATCATAAACCCTCTTACATCCGTGAAGGCGTGTTTTCAAAAAATGTGAAAAAAAAGGGGGGAAACTGCTGACAGGAGAGGACAGGCCGAGAAGGAAAAAAAAACAAAAAAAAAAAAAAAAATCAATTGCTATTTCGTTCGTTACGTACGTAATATGTGCGAGAGTTTTATTTTTCCTGCGGGATTTTTCTTCTAACCCTTTGCGATTGTTCTGTTGCGAAAAATTCGACTGACGAATGTGCCATATTTGTGCATATGTGCACGCGTGAGGGGGCATATATATGAGCAACTATATACGTATGTATGTGTTTATACGTATGTATGTGTTTATACGTATGTGTACATGTGTGCTAGACACGCGCGCAACCGTTTTCTCGTCTTTTTTTTAATTTCCACTGAGTGGCTAAAATTCCCCCCAGAGAGGCACACAATTTTGCGGCGTCAAAAAAAAATTGCCATTTTGGCAAGTATATATGTAGTTATATGCATATAGTGTACATTTTTTTTTTCTTTTCTTTTTTGTACGTGTGCATGCGATCAATTTCTCTCTCTTAATCCTGATAAAAAGAAGAAAGTTGAATACGGCCCACCTCAGGAACATATAGAAATGCTTTTGTTGTAAAACAAATAGGACAACAGGGTGAACTGCGTTTTATTTATTCCAATATTATCGAAAATGCATCGCTAGCCGGATTCCTAGATCGTTTGCAAAACAACAGGACTTTGCAACTTTGCATTTATATGCCACTGTTCAGTGGCGTGTTGCGAAACGGATTTTTTATTTTTTTTTTTGGGTGTGGGGAATTAGCAAACGCGTTGAAAGCAACGAAATGGCCATTCCATTGCACATACATGAATTTGAGCGAATGAGATGGTGCTGTTGTTATGCACCTCTGGGAAGATGTATACATTTTTTGTGCTTCCTTTGTCCGTTAATCAACATGTCCATTCTGCATATGTGGTACGTTCCTCTGGCCCTTACACTGCGTGGTGTGCATGTATTTTACCATTTGCCCCGCGTGGCAAAGTAAAAAAAAGTGAGCGTGGCGAATAGAGTGACAGACAAATGTGGCCAAAAGGGAACGCACCTGCTTAAAGGGTTGGATAGTATCACATTGTGATTTAAAAAAACACTACGATGCCATTATAACAAATTAAAACTTGAAGAGGAGGGGTAAAAAAAAGTAAAAATAAAATGACAGGTCATGTGAGGCAACACAAAATGGGCGATTTTGAGAATTCGAGGAATGATCATTTTTAGTATTCACAACTTACTGCACATATTTTGTTAGCCACAGGTTCGCTTCTACTGAGCGGTAAGAAAAAAGAAAAAAAAAAAAGAGTCCTTTTCTTTCTCGTATGTCGCCACGCCGTTGCGATGCGTCTGTATTATGCACCGTTTAAGTTTAGAGGGCCGCTATAAATGGCTCACTTCGGGTTATACAAACATAGGTGTATCAAAATATCCATCAGCTGCTATACCCAAAGGACGAACGAGCTAAAATGAAGAAAGGAAAAAATCTTCTACTCTCTATTGTGTGACGTGGTTCGGGGGTTCACGTAAGGCTTGCCCCTTTTAAGAGGCAACACATTTCGTTTCAAAGCGTAGACTATTAGCCTGCCAAGGCGGTGGTTCTAAAAGAGGCTTCTTTTTAAAGCAAATTTGCAAAAATGTGCAGCCAAAGGGTACGTTTTTAACATTGCACCTTTTGTGTGCATATCCCTTTTTTTGTTTTTTTTTCTTAACGGGGGAGACCCTGTTTTGGAGAAAATACCAACACGGGTGACATTACAAGGGTTAACAGAATTCCCCAAAGGACTGTGAAAAAAAAAAATATAATAACACGAAAAAAGGTTTACAGAGATTAGGAGTCACCCAGGGAGAGATACATTTTTGCAAAGTTGCGCATTCGCCTTGCCCAAACATCACCAGAGCTTTACGAAAATGCATTTTTAAAAACGTACGATGCGGTTGATACCACTCGTTCTTACATTGTTACGTGACACAATTTTATGGGACCATCGAAGAGGATACTACTGCTTCAATTTAATTCCAAAACAGGGAAACCTTTTTTTTGGAAGATTTAGCACGTCCTGTAACTACCTGTGCAGAGAAAAAATTGCGCGCCAGAAATGTGAAGATGGCGGGGTGAAACATCAACCGAACAAGATACACCTATCCCTTTACAAGGACATAAACCTGAGGGAGAAATACAAATCGGGTGCGCACTTAAAGGAGCAGACAACAAATGCAGTCAAGGACATCCAAGGAGTTTGGAAGTTCTACTTCCCCGTATTTATAATGGACACGGAGTTTGAAGCGGCAAAGGGGGAGTCCTCCGAAAGTGACAACATGGGGAAGGCGGCCGAGTTGGGAAGGGCCAGCAATTTGCATGATCCCGACAATTTGGACGAGTTGGATGAAGTGGACGCCGCAAACGAGTCGGAAGATTTCAGGACGGGGGCAGAAGGGTCGAGGCAAACGGAGAGCTCCACGAATAAAGAAGCGTCGGATGACGCAAATCTGAACCTACTGAGAGGGGAACGGATGCAACCGCTACCCATGTTTGTGTATAACTATGAAAATATCGTGTCGGCCTCCTCGTCGACACGCGCCTACTGGTATAACAAATTTTTGCAAAACAATATTTTCGAGTGCACAATAAAGTTTGTTAACAAAATGAATAGCAAGTATATGGTCATATTGCAAGGGTATTTATTTGTGTCTAAAATAAACGCTCTGAATGATAAGAACATTCGTTTGATGCCGTGCCAAATATTTGGGAATTTATTTTTAGCAAATAATGACAATGCAGAGGAAGTTTCGTTAATCCCACCAAATATGAAAGTGTACGATAAGAATGGGAACGAAGTTAAAGACATTCTGGCCATTTTGGAAAAAAAAATACCAGGGTTTCGGAAAGATAAAAAAAAAATCGATTCCTTTTTGGGGCTAAAAAAGTGGAAATTCCTAGGTGTTTCAACAGCTTATAAAGTGGTAGGGGAGGGTAAAAATATGTTTAATATTAATCACTTTTTAACAGGGAAAGATGAAAGCATTTTTTATAATGTGATGAACTTTGACGCAGTGAATACAAATTACAACAAAAAAAGGGTTGTCCACTTGGCGGAAATTTTTAATTCCTATTTTGAAAGGCCCCCCGCGGATGTGCTCTCCTTGATTATGAAAAATGTAATTACAAAAGTTTGTCAGTTGCAAAGGGAGCGGCAGGAGCGGCACGTAAACCGTGTTGCTGAGCGCGAGAAGTGTAGCATCCTTTGCCGAAGTTTCTGCGACAATTTTGGGGTTTCTTCACATGAAATGCTTCGTTCACCCCCCATGTTTTATGAATCTCTGCGCATGTACCATACATATGCACCTACACGTGTACACCCATACTTGCTCCCCTCCCCCGCCTCTTTGTAGCTCGAGGAAAAGTCCATTAACGGCCCCTTTTAATCATACCAAGTGAACGGACCAACAAACAAAAAAAAATTGACACAAATGGGAATAAAATAATCTTCAAGATAGATTAGGAGTGATGCGAAACAGAACGACCATCACTTATTCGACCATAATTTCGTGTTCCTCATCTTCACTCTGATTATCAATCCAATCCTGCAGAAAAAAAAAAAAAAATTGCCACATGAATTGAAGGGTTGATATTGTTAATAGGGTTATAAATGCATTCGCTTCTTTTTTTTTTGTCGACGTTATGTCTGCACACATGTGTTATTGCACATCAAACTTGTTCCTTTTCTTTGTTTGTGTCTTCGTTGCTTACATGAAACGACTGCAAATTGTTGTTTTGCAAAAATGACCGTTGGTTATCCTCTGCAAAAAAAAAAAAAAAAAAAAATGGGCGTTACATTACACGCAGAAGTATATACACACCCAGGGAAGAGGGCATTCCCTCGTGTGTCTGCACTTTACTCCATGTTGCAATTACCTGTATTCTTATCCGGCTCTTCATTTTCGTGTGCGTCCTCTGCACGCGCCTTGTTGGCACTCTGATATGGATGAAAAAAAAAAAATATAACAGCAGGATGAAGTGGGACAAAACTATGGCAGAGAAAAAAACTATGTAGCACACAGGCGCGCTTCACACTTATGCAGCCAACGCTGTTTCATTTCTGTTTGGAGTACCTTTGCAGGCAGGCACTGCGCTTTCAAATCCTGTTTTCCATCGTAAAAATACACTTCCAGCTTTTTATCATTCAGCTCCATGTCCTTGAAGCACTGTAGAAAGGGAGGAATGATTATTTATATCGCTTCGCGTTTTTCACCTCCGCGGGGAGTGTATATAGAGTGCGCAGTGCCTCCCGCTCAGCGTTCTACTGTTCGAATGGGAATATAGAGAGTTGGCTGCTTTATTTTTGTTGGGGATCTCATACCGATACTATCATCTCGGCTTCCTCCACTCCTTTGAATTTGACGCAGACAATTCCGTTGGGGTGTTTCTTCAAGTGGGAAATGGCGAGGGCAGGAATCTGCTGCCGTGTTTCTTTCTACGTAAGAACGTTCGTAGAGTGCACACGGCACATGGCACCACGAAGGCGCTTTTTCATCTAGCGTAAGTTTTTCTTTTCACCACTTTCGTTTTAGCCTACCGGGATGGGATACACCTTGTGCACGGGTGCGTACTTCTTTACTTCCTGTTTTGGAAAATAAAATAAAACAAAATGAAAAAAATTAATAAATAACGGTGATGATAAACAGATGGCTACTTTGTATGATTGCAATCGCGAATCACACTTTTCGCCTTTCAATTGGATAAATTTCGCAGTTACCATTTCGACCAGGTCTTTTATAAAATCGTAGAAGGGGTCTCCCTCATCGTGCTTCTACATTTGGGGAACGGGGAGGAGGGGTATGAAATCAAAGGAGAGAAAATATATATGGGGAGCAAATTTATGTAAGTGCCCTTTAGGAGGTGAATGGTCGCACAAATTGATCTTTTTAATACCACGCTAGCTATCCCTTTTTTTGTCGCCATTGTGCACACTTTTACATGTGTCCAAAAATGGGCACCATAGCGCCATGACAGAAATACACAATTGGTATGTTCCTAGGTGCTCATGGGTTGGGCATTTCCCCCTCGAGCCCGCCTTACCGCTGCATCTTCATACGAAAAGACGTTCCTAAAAATGACGATTTTTTTTTTCGTTCCGGTGTACCCATCTTCCCACTTCTGCAACCTCAGTTGCTCATATTTGGCGGCCTTGATTTTTTTTTTTTTAATTAGCATTTCTTCTTTAGAAACTTTGGAGGCTTCTTTTTTTTTGTTGAATTGTGCTTTTTCTACACGAATTATGCAGTCCTGTCTTAGGTAAAAATTATCAAAATATTTAATGGCAATGTCGACACTCTGTGTGTACACATATGTAACCAAGGCGTCTCCTTTCACTTGGTTGTTTTCGTCATAGTATATTTTGATTTTCGGCTCTGTCGTCTCCGCGTCGATTTTAATAATGCCCGCTTTTTTAAACACACTATGTATTTCCTCCCTTGTTATATCACTAGGTAAGCCGGTTATGTAAATGCAGCTGTTTTTCACTTTTTTATCGCATAGGCCTTCCTCCATTTTTTTCTTTTTTCTCTCTAGATACTTTCTTTTTTTCTCTTTTTTTTTGATTTTTTCTAGTTCTAAAGGGTTCAACCCAGTGGTTCCGTCGGGTGCGTGATCGCAACTGTCACGGTGGGGGTCACAATCGTCGCTGTCGTCGGGACACTTGCTGGAGTTACCATTTAGCGTGTATGTATTTCCTTCAACATTAGAGACACGATTTGTGTTCTTCTGCACGACAGCAGAATGCTCCTTCGCAGTGGCGCCTCCCTGGAACCCCTCCGTTGTGCCATCACCACTTGGTGTGTTAAAAGGTAGGAACCCTCTTAATATATCATCGTTGTACACATACTTCCAGTTTTGATCTCCCTTTTTAAATATTACCGACATGATGTTTAATCTTTTTTCACTCCATAGTTTCTTCATCTGCTCTAAATTGTACGGTCCATATGACTGGTTGCTTACGTAAACTAGCCACTCGTGATTCTGGGATTCCGTTGGGCCATTCCCTTCGTACGCGTTGTTCCCTTGATTTGTTCTCACTCCTTGTGGGTTATAATCCTTATTCGCTTCTCCCTCATCTGGTGGGCATGCGGGTTCGTTTTCCCGTTGAACATTCGCTACATTGTCGCAATTAAGGTTGTTATTGCCTCCCGGGGAGGCGTGTATGGACTGTTCTTCCTTCGCCTCTTCCTCTTCCATAATTTTTTTTTCTTTCTTTGTTTGTGAAATTTGTTAGAAGCACATTTTTCCAGTTGTAGTTAAAAAGTTTGACAATGTGATTCGGAGTGGAATTGGCAGTGGGATTGTTTCATCTGCGAAGTGCTGTGGGGGGGACCCCTTCCATTTTTTAATTTTTTCCCGACAGGAATTCTGGTGAATGTTTTGCCATTTTATCATATGCACTGAGTGGTTGATTGATTGATTCACTAACTGGTTGGCTGAGTGATTGATCGACTGATTGACTGACTGGTTAATTTTTTTTTTTCTTTTCGACGACGCGACCTCGTATGATGCTCTCTTTCGCCCTTTGCATAGAAATATGCAGTAAATAGGATAGAAGTAGATTTTTTTTTCTTCTTTTTTTTTTTTAAAAAGGCGTTACTTGTCGAATGAGGAGAAAACTTCCAACTTTGAGGGAAGCAGAGGAGTTTCCCTTTTTGTGAACCTCCGTTTGGCATACTCCTTTTCGACTTTCTCAACCAAGGTCACATATGCATTACGTACGCTCGGTGCGTAGTAGCTGACTAGGTGATAGTTCCTAACAAGCTTCCAATTGAGGAGTGGGATTTCTCCGCCGAGGAGAAACTAAAACTGTTTAATTTAACGTGAAAGAGAACGAAGTTAGAAAAAAAAAGTAATGTCCGAGAGGAACGAGCGCATACGACTATCTATGTATATGAGTGTACCTACGCGTGTAACGTGCGTTGGGGGGGGTAGCAATGTGCTGTTCGATGAAAGCGAATGTTGGAAGGATTAAGAGAATCGCCCATTGTCACACATTAATATGTACTTATGCCATTTGAGTGATTAAACCAAACTGCCACAGCCTCTTCAAAATGGATACGCATATGCATGTATGCACATGGTAACTGTGTTGAAATTGTTTTCTTTATCGCTTACACATGTTGCGAATGTTTTTCCTTTTTTTTTTTTTTACTACACAGTGGTTTATGCCATATCGTGGGGGGATTTCATGCAGGCGTCAAGGGACATCATTTCGAAATCACCAGATAGGGTAATGCCGAGCGGAATGAAAGTGCAGAAATGTGATGGTGCGCAAGGAGTGAGCCACACCGTGCAAACACAACTGCTAGACGAAATTAGCAACGTCACGCACGCTGCAACTAAAGTGTTAACTTCTTCCCCTTTTGTAGACAAGATACGTGATAAAGTTGCATAGGCCAACCGAGGCAATTATTTTGAAAGTCACGGATAATAAAAACGTAAGGTCATTTGATCGCCCTCCAGGGAGCGCACCTCTCGCTGTCTTAAAAATTGCATATTGATGCGTGTTTTCTGGTTCACTATATGCACTCCGTTATTATTGTCCGTTTCTCACAACGAATACCTACACAGAGTGTCTCCCTGTCCAAATTCCTCGCAGAGCATAATGTATCGATTAAGCAAAAATGACAACTTAAAGAGGATAGAAGAATTAAATTCCCTTTTTCTGATGTGGAGTTCCAGCGAAAACGCTAACGAGGCCTTCCCGCTCAAGCTTAGCAGTACGGATGGGTGCACACAAATGGATGCATGCAATTGTCAGCATCCTTTTGTGTAAATAAGTAAATGTGTACAGATGGAGCTACCCCTCTGTCAATATGCCTTCCCAAATGCCCTCTCGCTTCAATCCCCCACCCCCTCTACAGGAAGTGCCGATAAAACTACCAGTGACCCCAAGGCAAAAAAGGGCACTTAGGGAAAAAAAAAAAAAAATAAAACCATGTGAATTGTGACAACCCCCCCACTTGGGAAATTACCCTTTTCTTCTGCACAGTTGGGGAAATATTTACGATTCCATGACCCCACAGAGAGTAATTTATTTTACGTTCATTTAGAACTTGGATCCTTTGGAAGTTCGCCCGAATGCTTACGTGTAAGTAAGCGGGGGTTATAATTTCCCTTCCTATAGTCCTCTTACTTGAATAGGACCACGCGCATGTGTATGCATACTTCGATGTTATTTTTTTTATTTTATTATATTTTTTTTATTATTATTTTTTTTTTTTGTTTGTGTGTAATGGAAAATATGAACACGGTGATAATTTTTGGTATACATTTTTGCAAGTGTAAAGTGTATAACACTTTTTTCTTTTTTTGCCCCATTTTTTCTCATATGCACTAATTAACGCAAGCAATTTTATGTAATAAATATGTAGCAATTTGCGTTTTATTGGAAGGTTACTATTTTTTTTTTTTACTTTCCTATCCCTGCAATGTTTAGCTTAAAGCGTAAATATAAAGTGTGCCTGCCTACTTATTATTTTCCGCGGCAGCTTACACTTATACGCGCATATTGACATATATATGACGTGCAATCTGCGCTGGAAAAAAAAATCAACAGCTGGTGGTATGCGAAACTGAAAAATTGGAACATGCGCTTCGTCCAGTTGGCGAAGTGTACAAACGTAGCTGCAAACTTGGCTGATAGAATGTGCCAATAAAAAAAAAAGCGAGAATAACATAAGCATCCCTCTATCTCTGTGACCAGTACATCATTCGACCGCATCGCGCGAAGATATCGAATTGTATGCGATAAGTATTTGCCAATACGAGACATGTAACAGATGGCACAAAAAAAAAAAAAAAAGAAGGCAAGCAAAAGAAGAGAGGCATTTTTTTCTCAATAAAAATACCTCCTCCTTGCTCGGCTTTTCCCCCCGTTCTGTAAATTTCTTTTTTTTTTAAGTTTGACAAAAAAATTTATTTAACCAAATATGCATGCGGAGGGGATGAGGCAAACCGGAACACACTCCCTAATTCACCTTTTCCTTTTACAAAATTTTTATAGGTACAACTGATATGTTTTGCCAGAAGATGTACCCATATGTGTACATGCACACATACACCGTGTGCTTCGTTTTTTTAAGTACACACATAGTGATCTGAAGTTTCAGTAATGCCGAAAGGTTTACCTTTGTATGTATCTTCGTCAGTATCACCAACAGCATCCGATTAGTTCCTCCCCCCGCACAACTGTATGTTTAGAGCGATAACAAATGCGCGCCAGTTTATTCATCCAGCATTGTTTATAAGCACGAGGAATACAAGCGAAGCCAAAAATATAATAAAAAAAGAAAAAAAAAGGAACGAGCTAAATCTCGAGAAAGAGCGCAGATGAATGTTATCACAAGGGGAAGGAAAGGAAAAGGTGGCAACTTTTTTTTTTTTATATAAAAGTGTGGCGTGTTTGTAAAGGTATGCAGAACCCTATGGTTCAGCATAGCTGATCAAGAATTTTTGCACCTAGTGAGACGGGCAGGCAGACGATTAGCCCAAACCGCTAGACCGAATAACGGGAAAAGAAACTGCCAAGAGGCGTGACCAAATGGCAGACGACAAGTCTGGGAAGGGGGCGTACATTAACAACCCAGAGTTCCCGTACAAAAACCTGAACATTAAGAAGATTGAACGGATAAGGAAAAGCGTCAGTCTGGGGAGCAAGTTTCTCGTCCATAAAAATCCAATTAACGATGAGTCGCGAGGAAGAGAACACGTTCCCAAGCAGGGGAATTCGCAAAATTACGCAAATAGCTTAAGCAAAAAATTTAGTCAATCGAAAAATTTTATAGAGAGAAATATTGAAAAAATATCTAGCTTAAGCAAAAAGAATGACATGTTCTTGAAGACCAAAAAGACATGTAACAGGAGCCACGTGGTGGGTCATGACATATACAAGGATGCAAAGAGGGACATAAAGGAGAAGGCCACTACGGTTTCCAGTGTCGGCCCGCTAAAAAATAGGGCAACGGGGGACACTTCTCGGAACAGTGGTAATGGCAATCACAACGGCAATAACCACGGCAATAACAGCCTTTTAAGCAAAACCTCAGTGAACTATCCGAAACAAAAAATTACACTCGTCCATGCAAAACACAAAAGGGCAGAGTGCGATTCGGCCAGAAACAAGACGTCTTCTGCGTATGGTCATAACCACGGGGAGGAGGCTCCGAGAATTGCGAGAAAGTTTCCGGTAATTGGAGAGAGGGGGAATAGACACCACGTGGTCACCAATCTTGAGAGGCCCAGAAGCTTTTCCAGGCACGACGTCGACGGTGGCGGGGCGGCCTGCACTGCTAAGCTTGGCAGCTATGCGGCGAGTCATGCTTCTTCCAACCATGCAGCTGCTAACCACAGCAACAGTAATGCTCTTCTCAGAAGACAGAAAACATTTCTGGGTGAAGACGCGGCAGGCCAAAATCGCACGGAGAAAGCGCCCTCCACAAAAATCGGTAGCAGAACCGCGGGTCATGACAGAAGCGAAACGCATTTGAGGAAAAAAGCACAGATACGTAACGGAATAATAAAAAAGAACGAATGGGTCGATATAACGAATAACATCACCATCACCCAGGAGGAGATAGCCAAAAATAAGAAGCGACAAACCAATGCACAAGTCACACTTTACCACGAAGATAAGGATAAGCATGTCACAAATGAAGGAAAGAAAAAAATGGAAAAGAAATTAAAAGAAAGCTCAAACGTAGTATCACCTTATGAGGAGCATGAAATGAAAAATAAACGAAGCGATTATGTAAGGGATAGGAAAATAAAACGCGAGGGTACCTTAGAAAGTCACAGAAGTGGAGACAACGAGATTGGACAGCTAGAATATGATGGTTCTGGTGAAGGGGTGGATATAGATTGTACGAACCATCAACGGAAACTTAAACCGACAGATGAGGGGGAGCATATGTACACGCAATATAATCTCCCAAATGGTTATCATTACGGTGGAGGTGGCGCTGAAAAGGATGGTCGTGGAAGCACTGAGATGTGCGAATCGGGTGCGGGAGATGATGTAAATGAGGAAAAGGAAGCAGTCGATGAAGACAACGAAGAAGAGGTCGCCGTCGCAGAGGAATCGCAAGGAAGTGGAGGAGACCGCGCCCTGCAGAAACAGGCCAACAAGATAACTCCACCAATCTGTAATAACAATGACGCAGAGACAGGAAAAAAAGATTTTCCAGAAAAATCGATAAGCCTAAACGACAATTCTTCCATCGATACGGTTACAAATTACAGTCTGCAAAGTAAGAAAGACTATCAAAGTTGGGGGGACAAAATAAAGTTAAAAAATGGAACAACTAAAAAACTGCGAAGCTTTGACTATACGTCCCAAACGATGCACAACGAAACGGGTAAAGCTTTTTCTTCTCGATATGCACATTTGGACTCACTTGAAAAAAAAAAAAATGAAGAAAGAGTTAGAGATAATAAAAATGTAAACGAATTTTTTGGAAATGTTAGAAGCAGCATTGGAGCGCTTGACGAATTACTGTGGAGGCGGCTTGCGAACTTAAAAGGGAGAAGAGTCCCACCAAGTGGAATGCGTGTGATGAATGGGGGGAAGGAAGAAGGTGCCTACAATGGTACTACAACGATTAGGGGATCAAATGAACGTCTCACCTCGCGTGATAATTATTCAATAGATGAGTATCGAGTCGACGGGGGAAAATCCATTCAGGAGCATTCTTCTGCCAAATATAGGGAAGGACAAAGTGACGAAATGGAGGAGCCCTCTGAGGAGCCAAAGGGGATGGCGATGACATCCATCAAGAGTGAAGAAAATTACCTCATTGATCGAAATCGTTATAATAATATCAAAACAGAGGGGCAGAAGGAAATCGAGGAGATTAAACATAAGCAACAAGTGGACACGCATTATGACGAAATTGAGCAGCAAAAGATAGTTACCGAAATGGAAAAGTTAGATGATAGAGCGTGCGATGAGTACGCTAAAGAAAGTGACAGTGCACACTCAGATAAAAAATTATCGGATCCACCTTTAGTGCAAGACGCGCAGATGCGCACATGTGCCAACGGTTTGGAGAATGTAATCGAGGAACGAGATTCTCCAAGGGAGGAAAGAAATACACTAAATGAGGATACACTTAAAAAAGAGTTTGCCAATTCATATGACTACGAGTTCTCCAGCTCGCGTAAAGCGAATCATAGCCTTTCTGGAAGTAACTTTTCTCCTCTGCACAAAAATTATTCGACCGAAGGGGAAAACCTAGACAATGCAAACGAGGGCGAAGCACACAGTGACGATGACGACTATAAATCCGTAACGGAGAAGAACTCGGCGAAGGACGAGATGGAGGAGGGGGTACAAGTAGAAAACACGGACGAGAAGGAGGAGCAAATGGGAGAAGAAATGGAGGAGGAACTGAAAGAAGAAATGAAGGAGGAAATGAAAGAAGAAATGGAAGAAGAAATGGAAGAAAAGAACGAGGTAAAAGAGGAAGCAAAGGAAGAGGAAGAAGAAGAAGAAGAAGAGAAAGAAGAAAAAGAGGACGAAAAAGAAAAAGGGGAAATACTGAATGATCTGCCAAATGATGACAAAAATGCAGCCAATGATAAAAACCACGATGGAAGCATCCCCAAAGAACAGTCTTACGGAGAAGAAGGACACTCCAAGGAGCCTAACAGAGGCTATTTTGACAAGAGCATTAATGAGGACTCAGTGGAGGAGGAACATTTGTACGACGTCCCCGAATGTGCGAAGATTCCTAGTAGGGTCTTATTAGCAGTAAATGGGAAAGACGCACAAAGAGGTGTGCAAAAAAATGCTCACGACGATTCGGTGCAATTTAATAAGTTGGGTGGGGAGCCCTTCGCAGGAAGACGCGGAATAGTCAGGGCTGATGAAGGCACAGATCATCGTGGAGATAAGCCAGATGAGCAGGATGAGGATAAACACAAGTTCCTGTGTAGCTCCAACGACACTTACCATGTAGATGTATTGAAGTTGTACAATAATAAGCTATCCCACGAAGGGGGGAACAAAAAGAACAATAAACTTATAAACAAAAATATGATTTTGAAGGAAATATTCGGCTCGAATTATGAGTCCAGCTTGAAAAATGATCTCAACGAGTCGAGTAATGTGATGGGAGGCGAGGAGGAACCGGCGGAGGACGACGGGGACGAAACGAGAAACGTCGCGGAAGAAGAAGTGGCGGAGGAAAACGCAGAAGGAGACCCAGAGGAAAAGGCGCAAAATTACCTACACGAGGACATAACCGAGAACGAGCCGTCGAAGAAAAACGATGCAATCATAAGCCATGGTAATTACCACCATTATGTAAGCAACAAATCGATCGGAAGAGATATCCACGAGCCGTTCCAGTCTCAGTTTGATAAAAGTAACAGCGTGGAGAAAGACTTGTTTGGAAGTGAGCTAGCCAACGACGAGGATTCGTTGCTTAAAAGGTATGAAGAGACTTCCTCTCCCCTGATTTTATCCAAGCCCTTGTTTAACGACAAAACAAGTGAAAGCAGTTATAACACAAGTGTGTTAATGGGGCGAGCAAAAAACGAATCTCTGACATTTAGGGACACCACCACAGGGGGAAATAGCCATAAGGATAGAAACCGTAACGGTGATGTCCTCTTAAAAAAGAAAGGGCTGAAAAATTTAGAGGAAACGCCAAGTTACACAGAGGAAAAGCGAACGCATACTGCTGATGAGTTTTCGAGCGAATATAAGGGAGGCGGATATACATCGGAGGCAGAGTCGGACCAGGTGGTGGTAGGCAAAGCACAGGACCCAGCGATGCATGCGCGTGATGTTGTGACGCAGGGGTGGGGAGAATATTACGACGATGGGGGAGACAGATATGGGGAAAGCAGCGATGCAAAGAGGGTGGAACAAGTGGTTACCGAAAACGAAATGGTCAAAATTGAGGGGATAGGCGAAAGCGCTGCTCGGGAGGAAGTTAACAACAGAGCACCGAATGAAGAGAAAAGGGAACCAACGGAGGGACTCTTTGCAAAAAAGAGAAAGGGAAGCAAGCAGCCATATGACCATTACATTGATCAGTATGAACAGGGCTTCGATGTGGTGAACCAGAAGGCAGGTGAAAGGAAGAGGAAAGAAATAGACGAGGAAATAGGGAAGTATGAAACGAGGAAGGACAGTCAAGGTGGGCAGTACCGCAGTTATAAGGATTACGTAAAAGGGGAAGAAGTGGAAGGGAGAAAGCACATCGGAGAAGAACCCAGGGCAGAGGACACGGGAGTACCAACAGAGGAGGATAATCCAAAGCATCCTCACAAAACAGCATGGACGCGAAAAGCGCAACGCACCAGTGACGGAGTAGCGAACACAGAGAATGAGTTGACACATGGACATAATGAAACCCATGGCGAGAAAAAAAACAATGCCATTTGGAAATACAGGGATAAGAAGTTCCTAATCTATAGAGACAAATTATTTGAAGAAAAAGAAAGGGAAGAAAACCAAAGGAAGTCCCACATGAAGGACGAACTGTTAGACACGCATTATGGCAAGAAGTGTGATGTAAATAAAGAGAGGGAATATTTATTCGACTCTATAAGCGATAATTATAATTATGATTACCTGAAGAAGGGAAGGAGTGGCAAGAGAAGCTCCCAGATGATGAATTTGTATGAAAGCATTAAAAGCAGAATGGAAGCTGGCGGAAACAAGGAAAGTGACAATAGCAACTTGAAGAGCGCCATAAGTGACGACTACTATTTGGACTACATAAAAAATAGGAGAAAACATAGCAACAAATATGAAGGCAAAAAAAGTGGAGTAGATAACTATAACAAGGCTCAGCAAAGCAGCAACGAAAACGAGTTCACGCTAAACAAAAGGAAAAGAAAGAATATATTCCAAAGTGACAGCCTGATAAATGATAGCAAAGATGAACCAAATTTTGATCTGCCACGTAACAATAATGAATTCCTGGATAATGTGAAGAAAAAAATAAAAAAAATTGACCATATAGAATGTAGCCATCTATCCTATGGGAACAGTGAATGCTCCAAGGCAGCTGCGTTGTATAGCAGCATAAACGAAACAACAAATAGTAGCCACACCATCGTATCGAAGAGGAGCAAATATATTTTGAAACACTCGAATGCTTCCTCTCTTTATGATGACGTCCCTTTGTTTTTTAACTTTGTTAACTGTAGTTCAATCGTGCTAGGATCCGAAATTATATATGTCACAGATGAGACGTATGGGAAGTGCGAAAATATTTTAAAAGACAAACCATTCAACACGGCCAACATGGAAAGGGGTTACTATGAAAATTGCTCCAATGACCTCTATAACGCGACGAATAGTAATTTGAGCATTGGCATAGGCCACCAGAGGGAGCGCTTAGACGACATGGGTGATAAAGGAAAGGTTGCCAATTTGTTGGGCGAACCAGTGAACTGTTCTAGTGACGAGAGGATTGGGGGGGGAAGCGGTTATCTCAAATTATGCGAAGACTCAGGTAAATGGGGGGAATGCCCGGGGTGGCTCACCAAAAGAAGAATAAAAAAATATTTCGATTTCTGCATAGTGAAACTGTGCAAACCGACCCTCATCAAAGGAATCGACATTGACACGAATAATTTTTTGGGAAACTACGCTCCGTATGTTTCTATCGAAGGGGCGTACATCGAAGACGATATGTTAATGAGTGCGGAGTCGTTTGCGAAATATGTGGACCGACTTAAATACAAGAAGAAGAAAAAAAACGATTTCATGTTTGAGAAGGACTTTTTTTCGCATCACCCCTCTCGGGGGAGGAGCCGCGAAAGGGAGGGAGCACAAAACGAGAATGGTGAATGCAGCAAGACAGGTGATGCCAGCAACAGGAATAACGATCGTAGCTCTGACGCAGAGAGGAAAGATCTGTTCCTATCGAGCCGGAACAGCAGCCGGGAAAACCGCTACTGGAGCAATGACCGCAGACATCTGGGCGACCACGTGCTCAACAATAGGGAAGAAGTAGAATTGGTGATAGACGGGAAAACATATTTTAAAAGAAACAAATATTTTTATGAACCCATTTTGATAGATCCCCTTGACAAGTCGGACCAGGAGTATGAAAATTATTTGGAAATTCTAAGGTATAATGATAAGTATAAAAAATTGAGGACTAACCCTAAGTCGACGTCTTTTGTGGCCAACGGAAATGAGTATCGCTACATAGACAATAAATTGTACACGCTTGTGGATGTAACGAGGGAGATATCTAGTAGGTATCCAGGAATCCACAAGGGGTGCTTGTTAAGGAGCTCCTCTTCCCCACTGGGCGCGGAGAGGAATGGGGCTAACAGTGGCGAGGGGAGGGATTATTCCATTGGTGACCGCTATGGAGATCATTTCGTCGTAGTGGAGGGAGGTGGCCTTGGCGGAGCAGAGCGCCTTGAGAAGTACCGCACGGGGAGGGCAGCCAACGGGAATCGGCACGAGAATGGCGAAGATGATGAAGATGGCAAGAATGGTGAATTTGGTAAGAATGGCCAAAATGGCGAAAATAGCGAGAATGACGAAAATAGCCAGAATAGCGAAGAGGAGGAGGAGCGGAGCACGTTCCTCGCGAACTCGTACAACTCAAACACGCTCTTTTTAGACAACGATTACTCAATAGAAAAGAAAATCTATAACGACCTGCACAAGCAGTATCAATGGGTATCCATCCTAGAGGACGAAAGGATGAATCCTGGATTTAAAAACTACAATCATAACTGTTTCAACATAAACACGTGTAACAAAATATTTACGCACCTGATTGTGTGTTTGCTCCCCGACGGAGGAATAAACAAGTTGCGAGTGTATGGAGAGATAAAGATAAGTGAAAAGGTTCGAAAAAAAAGTTACAAAAAGACGATTAACGTATGTGATATTCTAGACGGATCCCACGTCGTTTACACAACTGACGAGTTGTATGGAAAATCCGAAAACATATTGATCGATCAGAACTCGGAGTATATTATGGGGTGGCAAACAAGAAGACTCATCAATAGGCCCCTACGTTACGTTGAAAATTTGACGATAAATAACATGTCCTCCATATTTTTTAACAACAACTATTGCATAATTAAGTTGAGTTTTATCACCAGCATTAAGTATATAGAAATTAATACCATATTTTATGAGTACAATTTTCCCTTGTGTGTCTCTATTGACTACTGCTATATGAAGGAAGTACACTCGGAGGAGAAGTCCAAGCAGATTCAATTTTTTGGTGAAAATATTGAGAACATTCAATGGAAGGAGCTTCTCCCCCTGTCCTACATTAAGGGGAACCATATCAACTTCTTCACGGTGAATGGCAGCAGCTCTGACGTGGCAACTTTGCCCGACATGGTGTCCTCACACCTCCGTCTGAACATATACCCCGACGGGGGTATAAACACGATCAAAGCGTACGGCACGGTGGTGGAGGTGTAGCGGGCAAAGAAGGGTGAGAGCGGAGGATGGAAGTGAAGAAGTGCTCGGGACAGTGCCCACTGCGTCATCGGGTGCGAACGTAACCACGACTCATCGCTTATCATTCTTATATGCTTCCCTGCTCCAGCTGGGGAGAGAAAAGAAGCTGCTTCCTCATATGCGTAACCCTCTTTGAATGAAAATCATCCTGCTCGCCACGGTCACTACGCCCCTCTTAAAATACTCCTGTTACATTTACATGTGGATCCGTTTGTTTCACCAGTATGTTTTAAACACGTCCACGGTTGCGGCAGTGGCAACCGGCGGATGTGGCACCGTTGAAATCCTTCTACATGGCGATTGCTTTTCTTTTTTTTTTTCGTTCAACTTGTCCCTGTTTTATTCGTTTCTAAAGCCTGTTATTATTTTGTTATGTGTCAATTATTTGCTCATTTATGTACCATTAATATGTTTCTTTTTTTTTTTTTTTTTGGGGGGGGACCACTTGGATAGGAGCTGCCAATTTGCTCAACTGGAACGGCGACTTTTCCTAAACTAAAGCAGACGTGTGAGTTTGAGTTTGCGGCATTATGATATTGCTACTTTGCGTGGGAAGAAATAAGGTGGCACGTACGTAGCAGAAGTGGAACTGCCAATGTAGAGGTATTGTTCGCCATTATGCGGTGCTTTGAAGCGTGAAAAATAGGAAAGAGCAGGAGAAGTAGCCCTTTAGCGCAAAAACGTAGTCAAAGTGGTAGTGTGTGACAGGCGCAAAAAATACTAGTGGCAGTTCGACGAAAACACATTTAGCTCCGTGAACATTTGACCCCCTTCTACACTGCAAACGGGAGGAAAGTATTAACATTCGAGCGTGTGGAACGGTAGGGGAAATAAAGCATTTCGCCCTGGAAGAGTTAATTAGTATTTTCACCATATAGATAACCTCCCCTATATGTTTCTCTTGGCTGCGGGTACAGCTCCTTATTCAAGCACACGTATGTGCTCGCGTGCATTCTTGTCGTTTTCTGCGGCCATATATACGTCACGATAGTAGCACGACAGAAAGGGAAGCACCCCAAATAGGAGAAGAGAAACATTCTGAGTCCTCCCCCCTCCATACATACATATACACACACGTGTAGTCCGATTTGACATTTATCCAGCCCCTATTCAACACAACAGGAGGACAGAAAGATGAAAGGAATTATCGTTATTCTGTACCTCATTCTGACACATCTCTGTTTTGGCTTTAAAAATTTCACGCCCAATCAGGCTCTGAATGTTGTATCCAGAAGGGGGAGCCCAAGTAGCAGGTTCTCGCAAAATCTGCATGAGTCTAAGAGCATAGATCTGGCCAATGACCTGAAGGAGAATGACCTGATTCCGAACGTCAAAGTTATGGTACAATGAGGATCGGCACTCTGGTAGAATTCGCGGCCGGAGATGAAGCTCCAGATGAGTGGCCGTTCTTCCAGTCGCTTTGTTCACATGGTGGCTTCGTACCTCCCGTCGATTTGTTCATCCGATCGCTTTATTCCTCCGATCCCTTTGTTCGTCGTACAGCACTGTAATCTGCGTTATTTATTACCTTTTTTTTTCGCCAGATCGATGTGAAAAACATGAGTGGCACGGACCAGCCGGGGGAGGAAGACGATTTCAAAGCCATGGACACACACGAGCTGTTTAAGAACAAGAAAATATTATTGATCAGCCTCCCTGGAGCTTTCACCCCCACATGCACGTCCAAAATGATACCGCAGTATGAAGACGAATATGATTTCTTCATTAAGGAAAACAGATTTGACGACATCTACTGCATCACGAACAATGACATTTTTGTGTTAAGAAGCTGGTTTAAAGATATGAAAATAAAAAATGTGAAATATGTTAGTGATGGGAATAGCTCCTTTACCGAACGTATGAATATGCTTGTGGATAAGTCCAACTTCTTTATGGGTATGAGACCTTGGAGATTTGTTGCTATAGTGGAAAATAACATCCTAATAAAAATGTTTCAAGAAAAAGATAAGCAACATAATATGCAGACCGATCCGTATGAAGTTTCGTCCGTTGCTGCTGTTAAGGAGTTCCTTCGACAGAATCAGCTCTGAGGAAGCAGGGGGAGAAGTGGGATGGGTTGACTCTGTCGAATTGTTGAGATGATTCCCAATGTTTAGAGTTCCCAACCGTTTGTGAGGGTTCAAACGAAAGGCGCATTCCATCGAAGTGTCTTTCCCTTCTGGTGCACGGAAGTGAACTTCGTCAGTCATTTGGCATTTTTCGAAAAGCTCATCTGAACCTTTGCAGTTATTTGTTTACATTAGCGTAATTATTTATTTATTTTTTCTTTTTTTTTTGCATTCTTTATTTGACACGCGGGTGTGAACGGGGGAAGGGAGATGAATTTTCCCCCGGTGGAGTGAAATTGTGTGTGCACAGGGGGTCTGTAGGCCCCGTTGGGAACTTTCAACGAACTTCTCTGCGCGGTGCGCCAGGTGTCCGTATTGTGCAAAGCGTGCAAATCGTGGGAAGAGTGCCTGCACAGTCTCATTTGTACATTTGACTATTTTTAATTAATTTGGCAAACATAAATGGGTGTTCACTTAAACAGTTGTTAGAAAAAAAAAAAGTTTTATTGTTTCTGGCTTGGCTGGTGCTTACTAGCCAGGCCTCGTATGCGTCTACATGAGCATTTCTGCACAAGCAGGGGTATTATTACTACACCAATGGGCAGACCGCAGGTCGGCATACGCGAGGGCTATTTTTAAAGAGCAGGTTGGAATGAAAAGCATCCAAGTGTGTACTCCAATTTGACAGTTGCTGCCAAACGTTGCCTTGTTAAGAGGTGAATGGGGTGTCACATTGGGTAGGGCAATCCATACGTGTGTGGATCACACATATAGAGGGGTAGTGGTGAAGATCACGATTATATGCTTCATATGGCTAGGGATTGCCCCACGGATATGAACAGATATATCAACGCGTTTCAATATAGCGCACAGCGGATGGGAGGAGAGAGTCCCGACTAAGACACCTATCCAATTCAGCTGCAATTTGACGCGCAATTCCCTCCCTTTCAACGGATGGTCATATTCTCCATACCAGCACAGTTGTTCAGAAAGATTCTCTTAAAAAGATCGTCATCATTAATATTCTTCATGGTTTCTATATTATTATTCTGGACTTGTAATTCGTTTTCTATTTTGTGTCTCTGCTTTGGCTTCACTTTGTCAATAATGATAATGCTGTAGTTGTCCTCTTTCTCTAAATATAAGCTGATGTCATTGTCGAAGGTGTGTTTTCTTAGGTCATATGCGTTTACATAATCTCCTGGTTTTAAATGACCAGCGTTACACGTTTTGGTGAGTATTGTGTTTCCCTCGGATTCGTCGTACAACTCGACGAATGCGTAGACGAGTTTATCCAGCTTTACTTTTCTCGAGGAGGATTTGCAACTCTTCGTGTCTGCGAGTGAGCCGTTGTCTTCGTTGAGTTCGAGGAGGTCATCGGGGGAGACTTCCTCCACGGTGTTTGAGCTGACCGAATTTTTCGTTTTCCTCTTCAAGTTAACGTTTTTATGCTTGGCTCGGATCGACCGGTTTGACGCTCCCTTCTCTCGTCCATTCAGGGATACATTATCCTCTTGCGCAGCGTCTTCAATGGAGTCACGACACCTGGAATTGGTAGAGGCGGCACTGGTTGCGGAGGCACTGCTAGCCGAGGCACCACATCTCCTCTCATTCTTGGAATACGAGTCGCTGTCGATGTACTCCACATTGAGTATGAGGAAGACCTTGGAGTCTGCCTCGCTCAGAAGGGGAAGGAAGGGGTGCTTGTTGTACCGCTCTTGCGATATATGAGCAGAGTTAGAGGAACAAAAAGGATTAATCAATATGATGAATATGGACACGTGCAGGCAAAGGTAGAAGGAGCTCTTGATTCCATACTTGATGGATAAATCTTTCGGGAAAAAAATCAAATCGTATTTACATATGGGACAGATGTCGATAGAAAATGAGTACAAATAATTGTACGTGTTATTATTCGCATCGTGGTTTATCAAATGCTTCGAGTTTTTACATTTTGACATGGTCTTGCTTAATATGAAATCGCAGAATTTCAGGGCATCTGTTCGTGACAAAAAATGGAAGTCTAAGCCATCCGGGTTGGACACTATGTTAATAATATTTTCGTTCATATTATATTTTAATAGTAAGCTTTCCAGAAACAGGAGTGTTTTTTTATGTTCCACTTTCTGCCTAACCGACACGCAAGTGTTGTATGTGTAGGGAGTATAAGTCTTCTTGCAGTCATCACATTGGGTGTATTTTATTACGTAATGTAAAATTAACTCCATCTCGCTGATGAAATTGTTTATCAATTCTTCTTGCACGCTGAGGTGGATTTTGATTCTTTTGCTGTGCGGTTCTGTATATAAGAATTTTGCGTCCAATATTTTTAGCTTTTTCAATTTATTCACTTTTTTTAAGCATAAGGCTAGTAATTCCTTGCTCTCCAATTCGCAATATACCCACCTGTTGTGTAGGTACCTCTTGCACTCGCGGCAGTAGTATATCAGGTAGGTGTCTTTATTTATGTTGATGCTACTACTTTCTACGTTTTGTAAAATGCAGTTGTTGCACATTTTGGATGTGTTCGCCTTTATGCTGTCTCCGCACAGGATGCACGCAATCAGTTGCATGTTGTCGTTTTGTTGGTTCACCGCGGAGTCCACGTTTTCGTAGTCCTTCCCGTTAGCTGCGGGGTGGAAGTCATGGGGAGCATTCCCATTGAGGGTATTCCCATTTGGTATTAGCCCATTTGGAGCTTCCCCATTTGGCCTGCCGTTTCCCCCTTTTCCAACCCCCTGCATGGAGTTCAGAATGTCGACGAAGGAGGAGGCACGGAAATTATTTAGACTCTCGTTGTACGACTTTTCGAAGTCTGCGCGTTCCGTTTTAACCTCCATTTGGGCCTTCATCTTGGCCTCCATTTTGGCCTCCGCTTCAATCTGCGTTTCCGCTTTTTCTCCCCCTTCGTCGTTCTTTTTATTCGCAGCCATCTCGTCAATCTCGCCACCCTGCAGTTTGTCCTTCAAAAAGACGGAGTTTTGCTCATTCTTCGCGCACTCACGCTTGTCGAATTTGACATACATTGGCTCTTTCTCCTTGTCCTTGTATTCGTTCTGTTTGCTGCGCGCAGCGAACAGCTTGTGCTGGGTCTCCTGTGCTGCGAAAAACTTGAGCTGAGTGTGCAATCGCCTATTCTGGCTGTCCTCGCTGGAGAAGAGGTTGTGCTCGTTTTCGTTGCATAAACTGCCATTGGGGGTGTGTTCTTCTTTCCCCCAGCATCGTCCACCGTTTCGTTCACCGCTGCTGCCGCACTGTGCCCAACTGATTTTCACAAAGTCGTTCGCCTTGCAGTGACTCTTCTTATCGTCACTTGGTTGGGCATCACGTTGCTTATCATCACGTTGCTGACCGTTACTGTGCTTCCCCTCGTCCGTGGCTGTGTGTGAAGCATCCCCATTTTGGTGTCCCTCCAAAGAGCCGCCATCCATCTTTACGTCTTCTTTTTTCGCATTTGCCCCATCCTCATCAAGGAGGAAACTGACTTTCTTTGTGACTTTTTTCTTCGGCATCGATTCGCTGGGGCTTTCTTCATTCGTCAAGTCTACCGTCTTTTCAGTTACTTCCTTTTCGCCATTTTGATAAGTTTCTTCCTTTTTTAAATTGCTCATTTTGCTCTGTTTTTCTTCTTTTTTTTGGAAAATCTATGTAGGTATTTATTCAAGGCGGGAAAAAAAGTGGCAAAAAAGGAAAGAAAAAAAAGAAGTAAAAAAAGAAATAATCTGTCAATGGGTTAAAAGGAACTCCTCACAGAGTAGAATATTCTACTTGAGAATGTCGTTCCTTTCATAATGCGGTTTGTTCATTGCAGGTAAAGGAAAGATTCTGCACAGTATTTCCTTCCTCTAAAAATTAAGGGGTATATGTTCTCAAAAATATTTCCCAAAATCGTCGTCCTTCTGGTATTTTGTTCTCGTATTATCTTTACACGTACGATTTGTACTTCTTCCCATTTATCGTTTATCCGTTTATCCATTTTTTTTTTTTTTTTCCACCTTGTTGCCAGTTTTTTTGGATGGATTTTATCTCAATGTGGTTTTTTCAAAATGGAAGGCAAGATTTTCTCTGCAGGGCTGAAGGAAGAAAAATTATTCCGACGGTGTCGCATTACGGAGGAGCATTAAAAAGGCGCATGCTTTTCAGCCCTGTTCGCTTCGACGGTTTTTGTGAACCTTTCCAGAGTTACTTGTGGCTTCCGTTTTTTTTTCCCCGAAAAAGGGAGTATGCACAAATGTACATGTTTACACGTTTATATTTTTACATGTTTATATGTTTATGTGCGCGCAGGAATGCTCCCTTTCTTCAATGACCTCGTACTCATGATGTTACCCTGTCTGAGCACTTTTATTCTCCAACCGCGTCAACAAAATTCTTCGGAAAGGCCATAGTGCAGGGTTGGTGGGCGGATCGAGGTATTCCTATAACCCCATGCGCGTCGCATTATTTAGCTCGTGTATGCGTTGCGTTTGCCTTTTATACCGCGATTGGCGCTACTTCCTTTTGGCTTTTCCCCCACATAGGCGTCGAAGCGTTTTAACCTCCTCCGTGCTAATTTTAGCACCCTCGCGTAAATCATCATGGAGTTTTTTTTAATTGTACCAATGCATCAGTACGCAAGTAATAATACATTGCATTTGTAGCAGTTTATGCTGCGGCCTAAGCGTAATATACCTTGGTGGCAAAAAAATTACCTGCGTTTGGATGGGGGTTAGTTTTTTTAAAAAAAACGACGCCATTTTGACATATTAACGGAGAGAAGGTGAGGGGAAACATTCAGCAGAAAAATATTTTGACGGAGGATTAAGGATGCTGTTGAAGAATCCCATTTTTGTGTCAAATTGAAGGAACACAGCATTGTGCCGTTCGTCTTTTCGGCAAATTGGCACAATTTTCTACTTAAAAAAAAAAAAGCAGAAAAGCGGGTAATTTGTAATTCGCCAGTCGAATACATTTATTTACCCTTCCTTTTGGAGAAAACCAAAAAGAGTACTCATTATTGTAATGCTCGCATTTGAAGAATTATCAATCCGCCTCCATCGTCAGCACATAGAATGAATGAACAGAGGGAAGAGGAAAGTGAAGAAGTAGTCCACGTTGTTGAAGCGAGGGATGAGGACAAAGAATCATGTACTCCACTAAATGGGCACACAGGGGATACTAAGAAAAGGAAGGAAGGTGAGGAGGATTATGAGCAGGTCGTGGTGAAGAAGCGTGCCCCGCCTAGTGAGGACGCGAATGCGGAGGCAGATGGTGCCGTAGAGGTGCAAGTGGAGGAGGAAGAAGAAGTTGATAACAATGTGAATGGAGAAGAAGAGAATGATGAGGTAGATGAAGAAGAAGTTGATGAGAATGACAATGAGGGTGAAAAAGAAGTTGATGAAAATAAGGATGATGATGAGGAGGATGATGATGAGGAGGATGATGAGGAGGAGCATGATGATGAGGAGCATGATGATGAGGATGATGATGAGGATGATGAAGAAGAAGATGATGAAGAAGAAGATGATGAAGAAGAAGATGATGACGACCGAGACGGGCTGGACGACGACGCGGATGAAGACCCCTACATGCTGAAAGACGCGACGTACATCCAAAAGAACGAGCTCTGGAGAAACCGACAGAGAGTCCTGATCGTGAGGTCGCCGCTAAAAAAAAAAAACTGCAAATCGTTCGTCGAAAATTTAAAACTGTTGCTGCCACATCATAAGACGGAAAGCAAGTGGAACAAAAAGGCCAAAAAAAGCGACCTATGCGACATAAGCTACAGCCGAAACTGCAATAACATTATCTTTTTTGATATAAAAAAAAAAAGATATTGCTTGTGGATATGTAAAAATAAAACAGGACCTTCCCTATATTTTGAGGTCCTGGATTATATCCCCCTGCACAGTTTACTATTTTCGGGGAACTGCTTACTGTATTCAAGGCCGCTTTTAATTTTTAGTAAACCATTTGATGAATTGGAGCACCTGAAATTAATCAAAGAGCTTTTCATTCAAGTGTTCGGGACGCCCAACTACCATCCTCTAAGCAAACCCTTCTACGATCACTGCTACACTTTTGTGCATGTGAATAATTTGATTTACTTTAGACATTACCAAATAATGCCCATAACGTTAGCAGATTCTAACAATGTTAATAAGCAGAAGTTGGTGGAAATTGGGCCAAAGTTTACTCTACATATTATCCGAATATTTGAAGAGTGTTTCAAAGGGAGGGTTTTGTACGAAAATGTCAAGTACAAGAATTATGTTTCCCCGCAGCAAATGCGGATGGAAAAGAATGCGCATAAGAAAATGCAGAATTTAAAGAAGAAGAAGAACATGTTTAAGAGGATGAAGTCTATCCGGACCCCGATTAAGATGGACATAGACTTTTAAGTTAGGGAGGGGGCTGCACCTGGGTCTACCACGAGAGGAGGCACCCCCCGGACCTTTCCCGATCGCGTTATCATGAGTGGGCATTTGTGTTTGAATGTGAATGTTTGGTTCAGTTTTTCGTACTTTGCATCTGTCTGCTTTTTTACGCCTTTGTACGTTCTTTTACGCCTTTTGTGCACCGTCTTATACCTGTTTACACCCATTTGTGCTTTTTTTTTTGTTAAGGGACTGGCGGCGCGAGCGCGGTACCCATTGCACACATGCAGGGGAAGATATCCGCACCCGACATATGTGTGCCGTTCCTTCTTAAAAACCTTCCCATGAAAAGACGGAGGAGTTGTGGACGAAGAGAACACCGTATACACGTGTCACACGTGCCTCTGTAGACGCCCCCCTTTTTTTTTGCCAACTTCAACCCCCCCGTAAGAAGTGACATGCGTGCATAGTACCACATGCAGCATTGTAGATTTAAAAAAAAAAAAAAGAAACAAATGCATATTATGTGGCTTGCAACCCCGCTGCTTTATGTCAGTGGTGTTTAGAGGGATTGGTACTACATTCTCCTTCTCATTGCAACTGCTTTGGTAAAAATAATAAATAGGAAGGCGGATAAAGTGCTATTAAAGTTTTGAATTCTGTTTTTTTTTTTTTTTACCGTTAAGGGGAGTAGCCTCTTATTTGGCTAACTTGCCATCATGTTCCTTTTCTTCTTAACAATGAATTTCTTCACCCTTTCCCATTTCTGTTTTCCCGTTGGTTGAAACAAATCAGTTTTTTTTCTCCACAGTTGATGCTAAAAAAGGAAAGCAACGCATAAGCATGTGTTAAAAGGATTTTTCTTCCAAATGAATTTTTTTTTTCCCATTTTTTTTTTTTGCAAGAGGGGCCTTGGGAAGAAAAAGAAAAAAATGATCCATACCATATAGGAGTATACATACCAATGTTCGCGGGGCGTGCGTAAAAAAAGGGGGAAAGCGAAAAAACGTTAGAAGGGGAGCATCCAGGCAGAACACGTGACAACTTAATAAATTTGCCTTCCCCAAAGAGCAAGAGTAAACATGGTAAGTGTATGAATATGAATGGCCCCCTCCCCACGTTATGTACGCCTGAACGCTTTTACATACGTTCAGCCTACCTGCATAGAACCGCTGGATGCATAATCCTTTGAGAGCGCAGAGAAAGAACATCGAGAGCGCTTTCAAAGATAAAAAAACAAAAAAACAAAAATGTCGTTGGCCAGGGAGAAATATCTGAAAAGGAAAAGAGAACTGCTTGGGAACATAAACATAATTGACAATAACTTAGGAGAAAAGAAGGAACCAAATTTGGAGAAAAGAAAAACAGAAGGAAAAAATGAAGAGAATCCCTATGAATGTAGGTATGATCAAACGTTAAGGAAAAATGGAGAGCACCGCATGGAGGATGAATGCAAGAATCAGGGAAGAAGGGGCCCCGCCGAGGGCAGCAGCTCTGCCGCCTATAACCATATAAGTCATAGGAAAAGCGACCGGAGGCACCCGGATGATCGGGGGCACCACGTCGACCGCTCACACCTCGGCGAACCTACACGACGGGGAAAGAAAGAACCCATGCTGGACGAAAACCGAAGCAAACCAATTCTCAGGAGGAATAAGGATAATCCCGTCTGCAGCAAAAGCAACACGCCGGATAACGCGCAGCAGTGGAGCGTCCGCTCGGAAAAACTAGGGAGAGACTCGTCCAATGTGAGTCAAAGTGCACATAGCTTCCGCTCCGTGAATGAAAACACGTCTAAGCAGGATGTACAACCTACGAAGCAGAGGGACGAAAAGGGACCCTCCCCCGCGAGTATCACATCATACGAATTACTAACCAATTTAAGTAACATAGAAATAAACGACAGCGCAACTTTGCTAATATACACCTGCAAGTTGTTGCTACAAATGTGTGGGAAGGAAAATGAAAATAAAGTTAAGATGAACATGTCCCTCTCGTCGGTCGAAATATTGAGAGAAATAAAAAACAGAAATAGGAAAAATCTAAGGTTACTCAAAATAAACATTCTAAATGAGGTACTCACGTATATGTCTCTTAACAGCGGAGGAGGGGGGGATCGAGTTGGTACAAATCCAAGTGAGCCGAGTCTGGGAAAACATAAAGAAATAAAGATAGAGGAGGCCTGCATTGATATAGAAAACGTGGGCATCAGCATCATAATAAAAGTTATCTACATAAAGAATGTGAAGAATTTACTCACAAAGTGTTTGTTTCAACAGGGTAAGGGTGGCGCACGGGGGGGAGATGGAATAGGTGTAAGAAAAGGTACAAAGAGCAGTGACAGGGGAAGTAGCGAGGATCAAAAAGGGGCGCGCGTGCTCGTAGGAGGTATGCAAATACCGTCTGAGTATCGAACCACCGGGGGGACAGACGGCAGTGGGAGTAACACGTACAACTCGCTTCTGCAAGAAAATGAAAAAAAAAAAAAAAAAATTCTTAACCAAGATTATGCCATGGAGTATGAAGCAAAATATGGAGAAGGTACCCAAGGCGGAAACAAATATAGTCAGAGTGACGATGCCAAACATGTTAACAACAGTAGTGGGAGCAACAAAATAAGCTATCTAGAAAATTTACTAAACGAACCAACGGCGAAGGAAAAGAAAATAAAACAGGAGAAGACCAACATCCTATCCATAATCGAAGCACCAACGGTGATAGAAGAAATGCGAATAAAAAAGTTTCAAAAAAAAGACGACTTTGTAAAAATTATATGTCCATATTTGACGAAAAAGGCTTGCCAAAAGCACAACAAAGAATGCAATAAAGTTCATTTTAAAAAAATTATATCCGAGCATACAGACGTGTCATTAGGAGATTGCTCCTATCTAGACACCTGCAGGCACATCGAAACGTGCAAGTTTGTTCATTACGCGGTGGATAAAGACGACCAGGTAGTAGGTAGGAATCAAGAATGTGTGACCGAGAAGAAGGTCGACATCTTTAGCATGACGGATAATACGTACGGACCGCAGTGGATACGATGCGATTTAAGAAACTTCGATTTGAGTATCTTTAACCAGTACGTTAGTGTCGTGATGGCAGATCCTCCGTGGGACATCCATATGGATTTACCCTACGGGACGATGACAGATAATGAAATGAAACTGTTACCTGTCCAGCTAATACAAGATGAAGGCATGATCTTTTTGTGGGTCACCGGTAGGGCAATGGAACTGGCAAGGGAATGCCTACAAATATGGGGTTACAAAAGGGTGGAAGAAATTTTATGGGTTAAAACAAATCATTTGCAAAGAATTATAAGAACTGGTAGAACTGGCCACTGGCTGAATCACTCCAAGGAGCATTGCCTAGTTGGCATCAAAGGAAACCCCATTGTTAACAGAAATATCGACTGCAATGTGATCGTGTCGGAGGTGAGAGAAACATCTAGGAAGCCCGACGAAATTTACTCCCTAATAGAGCGCATGTGTCCGCAGAATTTAAAAATCGAGCTTTTCGGGCGGCCCCACAATATCAGGAGCAACTGGATCACTCTGGGGAACCAGCTGAACGGCGTCGTTTTGTACCACCCCCAGATTAAGGAGAGGTATAACAATATAGCCGCGCAGTTCAACATGCCGCTCTGCGGGGAGTAGCACGGAGGTGGTACGCGGCCAGTACTACATTTCGATGACGTAATTGCCACGTGGATACCCCTCGACAGACACGTAGTCTATATGGAGGAACACCCATTTCGGGTGTTACGACGAGCTGGCAAACATTCGTAGCGCGGAATAGTGTGATGTGCGCACTGGGAACAAACTGTGAGGATCCTAACTTGGGGATTACTCAAAACGGGTATGGGGGGAGGCAAACCGCTTAAAATTGAGGAGTGCTGATATGTTGCTTCACCCCCCGCTCTTAGCCATCATTTGCGCAGGCGCAGTTGCGTCTGCAGTTGCGGCTGCATTTGCCGTTGCCGTTGGAGTTGCCTTAGCAGTAGTTTGGCGTGGCCACGTCGCCGCACACATGAGCAAGCGCGTAGGTAGTTACATACACCTATGTCCACATTGCATGTGCCGTACTTTTATTTTTTTTTTTGTCTGAACCATCTTTTGTAACCGTCGAGTCGTCTCACAGTTCCACCACTTCAATGATCAGCATTAAATTTTGTTGTCACTTTTTTTTTTTTTATTTATTTTTTTGTAAAGAAAATTGTCCATATTTGAGGAATTTCGCGAATATTCATTTAAGCGCAAATATATGTCCACGTTTTTTCCGTTTTGAAATTAACCCTTTGTTAGTATCTTCTCATTTTAAAGTGAAAATTTTGTAATTTATAATTTTACAATTTTTAAGGCCCAAAAAAGGGGAGTCCGCGCGAGGCAATCCAGCCGAAAAGGTGAGCGGGCTTATACATAATAGAACAGTGTGTCCGACAAAATAGGTTTAAAAAGAAGCATAAAAAGGAACAAACTTTTTTTCTCCATCATTGTGTCATAGGAAGGTTCTTAGTAACCATTTCTTAGTTACCACTTCTTTGTTACCACTTCTTAGTGAAGGTAGAAAAATAGTGGGGGGGAAAGGTCCCCACGTTTTTGGCCATTCAAAGCGCGAGCTGGCAGGTTGTAGCCATATGGAGGGCTTTCCCCCTCGGGAAGTATTCAAATTGGTTACTCAGCCGCACGCTCAAGTGCACAAACAGGAACATCCTTAACCGCATACGTATGCGTAACTTCTTTTCCTCTCTGCGAATCCTTCTCGCATGGATAAAAAGTCCGCGGGGTCCTTTTCTTTCCTCCCCAAGTATCCAATTAAATTTCACCGTGGCGACATAGATCCCTAAAAGAAGGGCAAATTGAGTACAAGTCAAAATAGGACTTCTGCCTTCTAGGAATTTCACCTCAAATAAATGCTACACGGTATGTGTATGATCATTCGTAAGGGACAAAACTTATCTATCCTCGACATGCCGCATTGGTAAAGCCCTTCCAGTTGAGGACCCCTCGAGGTGACAATTCAAACCAGCATGCAATCGTAAAATGAGGAAAATATGGACCCCCATAAGAAGAACAGAAGATCAGAAGGCGATAAAGAACAACTACGATGAAGAAACGAAGGAGAACTTTGAAAAATCGCTCCCAAAGGATTTTATAGAAAATAACAGGAAGAACAGGATCCCATACTTCGAAATTAAGGAAGCCACTCGTGAGTGTGAACCTCGTCTGGTAGCACCACAGAAAGTGCCTAATTGCTTGCCTTTTAGCAGATAGGCAGAGCTATGCCTGTAATGCGATGGTATTAACATCACCGCATGGCTTTGTGCGTTCTTATGAACTTACCTGTTCATCTAAAACACATGGAAGGGTCGTTTCATCATCCTCCCCCCCTTTTTTTTTCCCTTTAACCCCGTAGTGATCGAGCAGAAGGAAAAGAAGGAAGCTCAGAAAATATTGGCCCTGGAGTTACGAGACAAGTGCAGGTAAAAATGGACCTGAAGTTGATGGGTCAAGAGGGCACCACGAGAATAGCCATGCGTGCATACTTATGTAGACAATGCAATCTCCCGCGTGGAAGTGCTCAGTTTTCACTTGACTCCTCCCATAGGGCTGAAATTGACGACTACGTGGAGTGCTCGGTGGGAAGGCTTTGGACAATTCTGCGATGCAAAGACGTGATGATTAAAATGAGGAAGTGCTTGAAGAAGTATGAAAATCTCGAGGTACGTGAAAGGGAACGCGAATGGCGAAAAGTGAAAAAAAAAATACCTCTGCAGAATGGAAAAGAAGTGCCTTCCGCAAAATGGAAGAAAAATGCCAACCGAAAATTTTATGGACACACTTCGCGCACGTACCTGCATGCGCACGTGACCACATGTGCGCATCCCCATCTTTTCCCCCCTAAGTATGTGAAGTTCCGGGAACGGCAAATTATCGAGGAGCGGAAGAAAAACGGAACGAGTCTGCACAGATCGGACGAGCGGGCCAGATACAACAGATTTGTTTACACGTGAGGAGAAAAAGAGAGGCGCAGAATGAGGGAGGATGCCACCCGTGCATGTGCGTACATAAGCTCTCATACGCGTGTGCCCCCTCTCGATGAGGCGAAATGCGCAGCTATTCCATTTTTCCAAAATGGCATCCTTTTTTCGATTTTGTAGGGATAAAGAAAAGGGCTGGGTCCCAGAAAGGCAATATTGAAGGTTCTCCCCGGAGGGTCATCCAACTTTTTTTTTTCTTTTTTTTGGGCAGATTTGTTAGAACGTAGTGGAGTGAGCCTTAGTCTCTCACGCGGGCGTGTGCCTCTTCGTAGTCTTGCGGAAAATTTGGGAAATTTTGGGAAAAAAAAAAGAAAAAAAAACCTAGGTGGCATAACTGCAATCTGAAAGAGCCACAACCGGTGGGGAAACGAATTTGTGCGAAATGGTAGTCATTTGGGGGAAGATACAGTTAGTCAACCCTTTGCAATGCTCACACCGGTGCGTCCAGCCCAGGAGACAGACCAACTCAGTAGATAATCTGGTATGTGTCATTCCCCCGGTCGAAAGTGTCAATGTGCTGAAAGATGTTTAAGTACTTCATTTGGTCGAAGGCAGGGTCATCTTCGAGGTGGTTAAACTTGAGGAAGGAAGGAATAGTCTTAAAATAAACGCAGACATTATGGTGTGACGAAATTAAGTGAGTTAACTTACATCTTTGTGAGCAGTAAGTAGCAATGTAACAACCAGGGCAATAATCAAAATTATTTCTGTTATGCTCAAAGTCGTGAACATTAAGATATTTATTGCATACAGAATTCCAGCAGTAAATGCCATAATTTATATTTTTTAAAAAGTAAAATTCTCCTATCGAATTTTCTTGTTTTAAATTATTGAAGTAGTATCTGTTCACGATTGTCAATTCTTGCAACATAATGTTATCGCTTACTGTTTGTTCTCTTTGCAGTGCACAAGAAACAAAATGATGAATTTTGACAGCTATTACGTATACCTGCTTCCATGTATTCTCATTTGTTAGAGAGCCTTTATGGTAATACAGATTTTTCATAATTTTCGCCATGTGTAGAATATGCTCGCAATATTTTTTTTTTATATAAATTGATCTTAGTTTGTATAGACACAACAAATCTGCGACGAATAACAAAGCGTCTCTCCCTATGAGGATGTTCATGTCGTCATAGAAAATTTCATTCAATATGTCTAGGAGTTTGATCTGATTTTGGTTTATTTTTTCCAGGCAGTTTTTGTTGGATACTCCGTATAGGAATTCTGTTATCATTAAGAAAAATGAGTTGATAAAAGTTAAGTACTTTTGGGTGATCGTCACCTTTTCGATGTTTTCTTTTCTTAACGAATTCATGATTAGGTTGAAAAAGGCCGAGTCGAAGAAGCTCTCGACAATTTTCTCCATGTCGATATTTTTGTACTCCTTGAAGAAGGGGAACAGATTTCTTATCACGTCAATGTGGTAGTTCAGGCTAGATATGACCACGTCGTTGTAAATGTTGTGGCTGTTCTTTTCCAGAGTCATGTTGATTCGCACTTCGCTGTACTTGTACGCGTGGAGGCGCATGAGCAGTCGGTAGATGCTGGGGACTCCGCTGAACAGGGCGCCTGCGGCCGTGAGCATTGTGGGGGCAAAAATGTACCATTTTATCAGTTTAGAGGTTCGCCATAAAGCGGCAACACTGTATGAGTAAGAGCACTCGGTGGTCGCGCACAAGGACGGGTCGATCACTCTGGCCTACCCGTAAAAATGTAGTGACTGAACTTGTAGAATTTCCCGTTCGCACGCGAATAGACATACTGATCCAGCACAGACGCATCACTGTCGTAATTCATTAGGTAGAAATAAAACGAATTACGCGTGTTGTTGAAGATTTCCATGGCGAGAGGAATCCATATGTTGTGCACAAGCTGAACCCAAAACTTCCCATTGTCTATGTGCAAATTTAGCATATTATTTATGAATTGCTCATTTTTGATAATTTTCTCCAAGTTGGTTCTTAAGTAAAATTTGGAAATGTCATTGTGGTCGATGTAGAAGTCTCCTCGTGTCAAATGCTTCGTTCTGATATACTTCCTAATTTTTCTCAACCGAGAAATGTCCTCATAAGGATACACATAATGATATTTATTTAAAAATAATTTCAAGTACTTGCATTTGTCTAGCCTTTCATCAAAATCTGGAGTGGTAATGACATTTAGGATATGGATGACTTCAGCTACATCTACCGAATCGCAATTACAATTTAGTCCTTGGACAATTTTTTTACATTTTTCCTGTACCATTCGTAGGGCCGTTTTTTCGGCATCGTTCCCGGGGGAAATTGTGTGATCGCTATATTGGAGTACTTCCAAATCGTGTTTTATTTTTATAATGTCTGTGTCTATATTTGATGGCCTAAATTTATGCGTGTCATGATTTTCTGCCTTGTAAAATTTTAAGCTGTTGCACACTTTGGTGCATTCCTTTTGGATTTTTTTCAAATGGAAGCTCTGGCTGCCCACGTCTTTCCTCGACAAGAATAGGAGGTCGTTGTATTGGTCATTTATGCGAATGGAGGGCGGTTCCTTGTTCTTTGGGGCGCCCGCGTTTTCGTTCGGTTCGTCCGCTGGATTGGCCTTGTTTGGTTCACCAGCTGCGCCATCCGCCGCGGAATCCTCCGCATTTTTGCAATCCAACTCGCACGGTCTGTATTTCTCGAAAATGCCCCTTTCGTCACGCAAAAAGCCGTGGATCAGCTGGTCCAAGCATTTAATTTTCACCCTTCTTCTATGACACTGAGCCGTCCTTGGATTTTTGAATAAGTAAAACAGCTCTTCTTCCTTGGAGTTAAAAACCGCTTTGGTGTCATGTGCGCTATGTTGTGTGGGCACCATAATTTTGACTTGACCTTTTCTGCGTCATGAAGCTGTTAGTCGCAACAGGAGGTCAATTCTGTTCGTTTATGCTGTGCGTAAAAGTCGTTACTTCCCCCTTTAGAGAGTTGAGGGGTGGTGAGAGCATGGGCACCTTTTTTTTTTTTTTTTTTTTTTTCCTCATCGCACTGGAGTACAGATGGGAGATAAGAAGGCAAAAGAAAAAAATGGACAAACGCACTGACATATCGCGGATGGAGCATGAGAACTTTTATGTTTTTTCCTTTCGCAGCAGAATAGCACCAGTGCGTGCACCCAACGGGAACAATACTTGACCATTCGCATTTTTACAGAAGGTACAAGAAACCGGAGAGGGAAAATACAACATGTGTGTGTGTACACCTGAGCATATACACACATTTGTATGCTCCATTTTTCCGCAGGTGGTGTGTTTGAAAAGTGGCAAAATTTTCTTTCTCATTTTTCTCGTTCATTTTTGTTTTATTTATCTATATATCATATTTTTACGTTAAAAGAGGAGATAGCAGGACAAAGAGGAAAAAAACAAAAAATCATTTTTGGAGAAGGGCGTAAAAAGAAAAATACATTTATTTATGACCCACATGTGGTACCGCAGAAATAAATGTAAAAAGCGTAACAGGGGTACTTTTGGGCAACACTTGCGGAGTGTTCGGAGTGGGAAAAATCCCAAATCAAGATATAATCAGGAATACAGAGTTAACAGATAGGCAAAAGACAAATTTTACTCCTTCACATGCTACGCAGTAATGTTCCTACATTTGAGATAACTGCTTTTTTATTTTTAAGGTATCACAGTTGCGTCGAATAAGAGGTGTACTTTCAAAATGGCAACACCTGAAAGGGATGTATGCCACCAAATTTCCCTTTTTTTTTTTTCCTATTTTGAGAGTGATTCAAGTTCCATGTACACATAAAAATGACGAACTATCGCTAAAGGAGAAAAACCCTTTTGCGTTTACGAAGCGTTGTACAAACGTGAATTGGCCATAATCGAACAGCCATGAAATATTCCTTTCACAGAGGGTGGGAGCGTCGAATCATGTTGTTCTGTTACTCATTTGTGGAACACTCCCGTGGAAAAATAAACAAATAAATAAATAACCTTTTCTTGCAACTTAATTTTTCAAAAATGTTTTTTTCCACGCAGTTTCACCGCGGTGAGAGGCAGACACCCGTTTGGAACCCCTTTGGAAGGGGAGGAGGAAATTTGTGAACGATGGTGGTAGCTTGGGAGGGGGTAATTTTCTCAAAATTAGTTTGGTATGCATTCCTTATGGAGAAGGCGAATCTGATGTGTATTTAATGGAAAATTGGGAATTTACTCTTCTTGCACTTATGTGTTTCGAGCCCAGAAAAAGCGTCTCACTTGAAAAGAACAGTGGACAGAATTGATTTCACCGCGGTTCGGTTCGTTTTTTTTTTCCTTCCATCGCGCATTCCCTTTTACAATAACATACATGAGCATAAACTTGCCTCCACATATAATGGTAAAATGGAGGAATTATGTGAATTGAAAAAATTTGAAATGAGACCGCTTTGAATTGCTTATGCATATTTGCGAATCGCTACGCGAGAACTTGTCTTGCAAATCTACAGATGTCAATTTCTTTTAAAAAAAAAAAAGAAAAAAAAGATGGGACACACAAGGGCCATACTATTTTTTATTGGCAACTTCAATTTTTCCCTATTCGTAAACTTTTTTTATTCTCCCCCCAATTTCCTACATTTGGAGGTACTTTTCTTCCAAAATGACCGAAGTATGCACATGCAAAAATACAGGCGTGTGGACACACGGGTAAAAAAAAAAGCAGAACGCGAACACGGCCGTTAACAGTTAGAAACGCAAGTGGAAGCTGAAGCGCAAGCACACACAGTGCGAAACAATGGAGGAACCCAAATGTAACATTCTGTATGAACATATGAACCAGGAAAAAAAAATAAAACTAATAGATTTGGCAAAGGAAGTGTACCAAAACATAAATAACAGTAAAATAAATTCCTGGAGATGCGCGACGATAGCTTTGCGAGACAAAATAAAAGAAGTTTTCGATTATAATGAAAAGGGATGGCACATTATTATAGGATATAAGTTTGGCTTCTTCTGTACACACGAAGTGTACAATGCGTTACATTTTAAGTTAGATCACGTGGAGTTTCTCATTTTCAAGCACGGCTAACAGAGGAGAAGCGCACTTCCGTCAGTAAGCAGCTGTGCATCCACGTGTACGTTGCACATGGGTATTTACTTGTCTGTGTGCACGTGTGCATGTGTAGGGGTGTCCTTAAAATGACTGGTACGTCTACACGATTTGCAGAAAATGATCTGTTTTTTTTTATTGTAGGTTATGTAATTTGCAGCGTCAGGATGTTAATGAGGAGGATTATTTACTTCGCGTGGGTGTACATACATAAGTGCGCGCATGCAGGGATACACGTGTGCGTATGTACCCCCATTCATGAAGAAGTGTTAGTACGCAAAAAAATAGGGGAAGAGTTTGCAGGGGGGATTTCCTCATAATGAGAAGAACAAAACGAAAAAGGAAAGGAAAAAACTCTTGGTTGTTACGATGTCCTTTTGTCCAGAAAATGGTGAAGATTTCCTTTTCGCAGTGTGAATAGGTTTGGAGCATTTCCACCGCTTGAAGGCTTCCCGCGTGCACACCTTTATTTTATATTTATTTATTTTTTTTTAACCCGTTCATGCACACGTAATCAAAGAAATAATAACGATACGTAAAAAGTGAAGGAATTCCTTTTTGCAAATTGCCCTTTGAATGGGAAAAACGTTTTGCCACAAAAGGGTTGTAGGCGTCCTTCAAAAAAGTCGTCCACAATATACTATGAGGCATGTCCATAAGCATGCATGCTGCCACTATGTAAAGGAACATGTGCCTTGATCTTTTCCAAAAAAGGTGTGCATATGTACATGTGCAAACTGGGGGATATATTTACCAACGTGGGAAGGACAGTGGGCTTTTCACGTTTCCATCCTGGGCCAGAACAAATGACTATTTTGTGAAGATCTATTCTGGTATTAATAGACAAAAAAATTTAAGTCTTCGCCAATTTGTACGACATGTCAGTCTTAAAAAATGGAGTAGAAAATTAAACGTAGGAAAAAAAAACAAAAAGGTTATTTTCCCCCGGGTGCATTCCGTGCACTGTTTTTGTATGTAGAAATCCTTGCACACGTCAAAAAAAAAAAAAAAAAAGACCTTTATTTTTGCATAAAAAGTGCTTAATATATACGTAGGATATTTTATCTACCTGATTTATATTATCTCAAAGAAGAAAGAAACTTTTCCTGTATGTCTACCCCTTTGTGGTGAAAAAAAATTGCGGAAAAATGTTAATATAAGACTTTGCGATAAGATCAGAAAGTCCATAATTCAATGAAATTATTTCTGTGTTAGCTTTTACGTGCCTGTGGACAGGCTTTTTTTTTTTTTTTTTTGATCTAACGTACTTTGTTAATATACATTTTGCATTGCTCACTTTACGTTTGTTGTTCTAACGAAAGGGAAAAAGGGAAAAAGATATGCAAGAATAAACTCGGTATTTGCACCAGAGGGTGTTAATTTTTTTCTGCCTTTTTTTTTTCCTTTCTTGTGCCTTCGTTACTCTGATGAGAAGTGGGCTTGTAGGGGGCATTTAATATATATTTTTCCCCCCGTTGCTTGTGCAGGCCTTTCGAGTATATGTAACTGTATTTACATTTAGTCACGTGTTAATTATTTTTTCCGCCGTTTTAGACTTTCCTTTCCTGTGTGCGAATTCCCCATTGGAGCGTTCATTTTGTGGAGTTAAACGGGTGAAGCCGCTTCGTCCGCGTGGAATTTCACCCATTAGCGGCACTGCCATGAGGAAGGTGTGTCGACGGAAGCACGCTTAGCAAGTTGATTTGGGCGATTCGTTCAACCGACTTGTGAATTCCTCACGAAGGAGAAGCGAAAGGGCAGCAAAGGTGCAGCAAAAGGTAGGTAACCCAATCAGGCGAACCTATTTTAGGAGGAACCCCCCCAAAAAATGGAGCTGGAGAAAACGCACTTGATAAACTACTTCCTTGAAATATGTCCAACCGTTTTGGACTGCTCCAGGAAGGAGCTACAATCTGTGTTGGCAAAAAAGGAAGAGGAGAAAATAAGAAGATTTATGGCCGACAAAAATGTAAACATGATCGTGATCGGGAAAGAAAAAAAAGAAGACGCGGATAATGAGGGGTCGGACAGAAACGGGCACTCAGGAAGTTCCTCTCAGGAAGGGGCTAAACAAGAAGAAGAATCAACTGTATCCGCACCTCAGTCCACACCAGCATCCACAGCAGCCGCAGGAGCGGAACGCGGCGCGAAGTTGGAGAAGGAACCAGGGCATGTCCTATTCGTCGAGCTGAACATAAACTACAAATGCGTGACTAAATGTGTTGCAATAGCTTTCATGAAACGAAACAAAGAAAACTTTTTAGCCATGCACCACCAGATAGACAAAGGAAATAACAAAACAAACTTGTCCAACGAATTGCTCATGTTTGTCTGTGGACAACACGATTGTGATACTCCCCTGGATTTAGTATACTTATATTTATCGCAAGGTTTTAACACGATATTTGATGCCGCTTCCAGTGCTGCCCACAGTGCAGCTGCTAAGGATTTTATTCCAAACGGTTACTGCAGGAAAGAGCTTGAAAGTAGCGGCGGTCTCGCTGGTACCTCTGCTAGTAGTACCATTGCAGGGGGCAATAAATACTTAACATACGAAGGAGAAAATAAACTATCGAACGTTTTAATGATCAATGTATCGAAGAAGCTGAACGAACTTCTCATATCCATGAAGAATGCTCAAATCGATTTGAACATTCCTATCATAAACTTAAGTGTGGACAGACGGATAAAACAGCTAGTACGGGAATATCCAAGCGTAGACGAAATAAAGCCAGAGAAGTTAAAAGCGCTGTGTGAATCCCAAGAATTTCTAAATCAGTT